AAAAAGAAAAAAATGAATAAAAATAAAAATTAAGTCAGATTCATAAAGTACAGTGGTGGTTACGAGGGATTGGAAGTACCACAAACAGTAATGCAAAGGGTACAAGGTCTCAATGGACACTGAAGTTAATATTGTACTGTCAACTTAATATTTCTTAAGAAAGTACATTGTAAATCACATCAAATACACACAAAGTCACTATGTGAAGAGATAAACATGTTAATTAGCTTTAGTGCAGTAATTAGTTCACTATGTACATGTATACCAAAACATCTCAAAGTGGACTTTACAGATAGCATTTCAATTAAAAGAAAACAGTAAGCAAATAACTCATCATAAGAGATATCTATAAGTTATACTGTGAGAAGAACAAGATTTTAGATATGTCACCCCAGTTTAATTAGACACTTCTCAATATACTGTCTATATAAAGAAGTTGTCTAAAAACTAGCATGCACACTCATGCGGCACACACACACAAACACACACACACACAGAGGTGGAGTCCACATCTTGGCTATTGGGAATAATGCTGCAAGGAATCTAGATGTGCAGACAGTTCTTTGGCATAGTGATTTTATTCCTTTGCATGTATGTATACCCAGAATTTTATACCCAATGTCCATCATCAGATGAAGAAAATGTAGCATCATTACAAAATGGAATATTATCTGGTCTTAAAAAGAAGGAAGTCCAGTCATTTATAACTACATGGATGAACCTGGAGAACATTATGCTAAGGGAAATAAGCCAGGCCTGAAAAGACAGACACTGCCTGTTCTCACTTACATGTGGAATCTAAATAGTTGAACTCACAGAAGCAGAGTAGAATTATGGTCATTAAAATTACTAAAAGAGTAGATTTTAAATGTTCTCACCACACACACACACACACATACACACACACAAAAAAAAACCCACAATGTGAGTCAATGGGTATGTTACTTAGCTCAATTTAGTCATTCCACAAAATATTCCTAGAGCAAAGCCTTATGTTATGTAAATACACATAATTTCATGTCTATTAAAAATAATTAATTAATGTTAAAACTCATATGTGCCTTATATATTATTATGGTCTAAATGTGGTGTCCCCCAGAAGCTCACATATAAGATAATGTGAGAAGGTTCAGAGGACAAATGATCGGGTGGAAAGAGTCTTAACCCAATCAGTGAATTAATTCCCTGATAGGGTTTAACTCAGTGGAACCTGAAGTGGTGGGGTGGTTGGAGGAGGTGGAAATTGGGGTGTGGCTTGAGGGTATACATTTGTATCAGGCCAGTGGAGTCTCTCTCTCTGCCTCTGATCTCTGTGTGGGCTGCTTCCCTCTGCCACACACTTCCTCCATGATGTCCTGCTTCACCTCCATCCCTGAGGAATGGAGCCGGGCTTCTATGGACTAAGACCTATGAAACCGTGAGCCCCTAAACAAGCTCTTCCTCCCCTACAATTGTTCTGGTTGGTTCTTTCAGTCACAGCATCAAAAAAGCTGACTAAAACCCATATGATGCCTATATGTGCCCATCAAACTCCAGTTCTCCATGGTATAAAGCTAGAGTATGAACCACTTTATTCACAGGGAAAGAGAGATGGATTAAGATGAGAAGATACAAGCTTTTCAAAATCACAACACTGGCGTACTCCCAGGAAGCAATTTCAAGGAAAGAGTTCTTCACGAAAGCACTTACCTGATATCCCTCAACAATTTAGGACTTTCTGAAAATTAAAACTGCATAGAGTATTCTTATATTTATGAGCATGTGTGGCAAAGTTGAGACCAGCAAACCCTATGGATTTTGTGAGTCTATTGTCAAAAGTCAGGTTTGAAGTAAATATGTGAAAGATAAGTATAGCCATGAAGATATACGAAGTCGTCTTGCTCAAGTGGTAGTCATTAGCCTCATATGGTTTTTTAAATTTAAGTTAATTAAAATCCAGTATTATTAAAAATTAAGTAATCACATGTGGCTTTATTATTGGACAGCATGGGCAGAAAAGATTTCCACAGAATAGAAAGTTCTATTGGAAAATATTGGCATCAAAATGTTTAAATTAGATCCTTGTTTGGTTTTGTTACCAATATGTGACAATTACTTATATGTTTCCACTATGCACACTCACCTATAATGGGTGAGTGTTAAAACATGGAAGAATTTTTTAGCATTGTTATGGTTTAGATGTGAGGTGTCCCCGAAAAGCTCATGTGTGAGACAAAGCAAGAAAATTCAGAGGCAAAAGGATTAGAGTATGAGAGGTGTAACCTTACCCAGGGATTAATCCACTGTTAGGGATTAATGGGTGGTAAGTATAATCAAGTGGAGAGTGGCTAGAGGAGATAGGGCCTGTGTGGTGTACCACTGGGGTTTATATTTTGTCCAAGAAAACTCTCTGCTTTCTAGTTGTCATGTCCTGAGCTGCTTTCCTCCCCCATGATGTTCTGCCTCACCTGAGGCCCAGAGCAACGGAGTTGGCCGTCTATGGACTGAGACCTCTGAAACTGTGAGCCAAGATAAACTTTTCCTCCTCTACATTGTTCTAGTCAGGGCTTTAGATCACAGTGGCACAAAAGTTGATCCAAACAAGTTGTGCAAACTGAGTGCAAAAAGAGAATGTCTTGTATAGAGAAGCAGTTTCCCACTGGATTCCAAGCTCCTCAGAATCTGTCATCATGTTAACCACTGCATCCCAAGCACCTGGAAGGATATCCAGCACACAGTAGGTCTTCATTATTTGTCTGTTAAATATTGTCTTGTCACATTCCTTCATTTATGTGTGAACAATTCCTGGCAGAACCACAGGCACTCATCACATAAAACAAAAAAAAAATGTGATAATATAACTGGAGAGGCTGAAACTTATGCATAAGGCCTGAGGGAAGAACTTAGAAGGCAAATTAAAAATGATATTATTATAAAGTATGTGACTTCCTTTAAAGAATAAAGAGGCTAAATGACTTCAGGGACTTTAATATCTATTTAGAACACTCTCGTTACAAATGCACCCCCAATTAAAACTGACCTCAAAAGACTCTGTTTGGCAAAAGTTTCTTACCAGCAGTCCTTCTAATTTCAAAAGATATTTAGAATTAAAATAGTCTATAAGACATCCATCTCTAATTTGGATTGACCTTTCCACAAATAGTCTTAATTACTGAAATTTTGCTTTATGTGCTGCTTTTCCATGTCATTTATTCTGTCACTACCCTAATGATAAGTGGGAAAGCATAGTTATTGTCTTAACTGAATAGTGCTTAATAATCCAACAAACCAATCTTTGATCTGTTACATAAAGGAGTAGAAGGACAGTAGGAACAGACAGGCAGAGTCAGGAATGATAGTGCGTCCTACAAACAAGGGCAGACTCCACAGATTGTGCCAAGCCAAGCACTGGTTTCAAGAATGCATATTAATTAATCCCATGACTCCAAGAAGTGCATGTGTCTAGTGAGCTGTTTTTTCAGCCTGCCCAACATCAATTCCCTCTTTCCCAGGGAATAGCATCCTGATTTATCTTTGGCCATCTTTGCTCCCAATTTGAGTCCATATGCAGAAATGTTCAACCCTTCCCCAGCAAATGAAGAGATGGCAACTTAAACCAAACTAAGTCACTCAGAAGTGCCCTCTTGCGCTCTCTCTCTCTCTCTCTCTCTTCCTCCCTCCTTCCCTCCCTCTCTCTCATTTACATCTTCAGCAAAGCAATATGCATACTAAAAAGAACAAATGTCTCTTCTTTCCAGTTAAAATGCCAAAATAAGACTTTCCAGTATCTTAGATCCCTAGACTTTCCCCCTCTCCTTTTTGAAACTGAGTTTTCTTCCTTTTCCTTTAACTTGGAATTATTCTTCTACCAACTTCCTTTTTCTAATTTAGCTAGATCATTCTATTGTATAAAACTAAAACTTCATAACATAATGTCTGCCTAGAGAAGTGGCTAATTAAAGAAAAATATGCAACTTGTATAGTTCTAGGACTGTTCTCATTAGCTCTCTGTGGAATGAGGCTGATACCTCTTTTATAAGAGGATTATGATTAAATTAAGATTAGATCAAAGCAACAGATCAAGCACACCAACAGAGGTCCTCTTGCAAACATGTAGCAGAAATCTCAACACACACAAAAAAGATATTTTTTAAGAGGACAAATATGTTACAATATTAAAATAAGAAAAAATACCACTAGAAAGCCTGAAATTTTGAGGAATCCCAAAAGATGGAAAATAAATGTTTGAACTGATAGAGGGACACAAGTAAAGGAAAACACAGACTATGCCTCTTATAGAGTTATAAGTAACTCCATAAATCATCCGAACTCATCCGAACTCAGAGTAAAATTAGAGCAAAGACCTGAGTAAGCCTTGGAATAATAAAAGGTTATTAATTGAAGTATTGATTTGGAAGAGCTGGTCCAGCCAAGTCGCCAGTTGACAGCAGAAACATTTTCTCCAAGGTTAATATCTTAAGAAAAGTACTTTTAAAAGTTCTCATAGAGAGAATGTGGGGATCACAGAACAACTGCTTACACATTCTCCACATATTCAAAACTATCTAAGACAAAAGCAAGCATGGGAGGAAGTAAGGAAGGTATTTTGACACAACAGATTCTGACAAGGAGACCATTACCAGAGAGAAGATGTCATCAGAGAAAACGTAGGCAACTATTTCCTATAGCTGGGAGAAGTCTTTAGGCTGAACCTTCTGAATATCAAAGAGATAAAACTAAAATGGACACAAAAATCCCATCACAGTGAAATTTCAGAATTCCAGAATTTCAGCAATAAGGAAAGATATTTCAGCCTTCCAGAGGAAAACGAATTCCTGTGGAAGAATGAGTATTAAAAGTCATCAAAAACTCATTAGCCAAAATGGGAAGTAGAAGACAAAAATAAATAAACAACAACAAACATGATCTCCAAAATTCTAAGATCAAATCACTTTAAAGCTGGAATTCAATGCTCAAGCAAACTTGCACATGGATACAAAACTCATTTCTCCAATTCATTCTTTTGTTTAATAAATACTTACTGAATACCTCCTGTGGTCTAGGCAGGTGAGGAGGTCTTGGACACATATCTGAGAAGTAAATGTATAAAAACTCCTGTCTCCACAGACGTTACATCATAGTGGAGGACAATAAGTGACACATGCAGAATGTCACGTATTCACCCTGTATCTCAGTGACCTGGCCCTTTTTCATGCTCATGGATTCTGTGGGTCGGAGTCTGAATGGGGCAGGAGGTCATCTGGCTTCTATGCCTGGATGTCAGGGCTCCCGCTGAAAGGAAGCTTTCCTGTGTGTTTAGGATTTATTTATGAAACTACATATCACATAAAATTTACACTAAATAAGTATGAATGATTTTCTCTTGTTAATCTGCCTTTGTTAAAGGGATGTCAGCCATAAACCTTGCAATGGTCAAGGAAAGAAACCCTTCTCCCTTACAACACCATCACATGCTGTAGGTGTTGGCTGCCCATGGCTCTCGCCTGTACTGTTCTTGCTCACTGGGGAATGTCCTTAGCCCGTGGGAGCCATTTTGCCTGTGGAAGCCACATTGCCCAGCATACCTTGGAGTCCAGGCAAGGATTAGGTGAGGATCCTCTGTCTGGAAGTAGCTCATGGCCAATGACTGCCTGACAGTCCTCTTTGTCTCAACATGAAACCCTCTGTGGTGTGACTTTACCCCCAAGTTCCCCATAAGATGAGGTTAAAGAAACCAAGTAGCACGAATATTATCTCCTCTCCGCCCTGTTCCATTCATTCCTTTCAGAGTTTTTCTGGGAGTATTTCCTCAATAAATCACTTTCCCAAGGACCCCTGCCTCAGCGGCTCCATCTAAGAGACCTGCTGTGGTACTTCAGAGTTAACACTGAGGGACGGAGATCCTGGATTTGGGTCACAAGCTCATCACCGCAGGAAGGTGTGTTTCCCTCGCACACTGTGGCAGTGGGGACACTGAGACGCGGCCTGTGGAGACCCAGGATGCTGCATGGCTGGATGGGACACAGTAGTGGAGTCTCAGCCATTTTCAAGGAGGAAAGATGGACAAGCGTTAAGGACTGCAGAACTGAGTGGCCATTCCTGGGCACCACGGATGCACCGAGGAGAGAAAAATGATGGCCCAGGTTGACTCATCACCCATTTCAGCAAAAAGAGTCATAGGCTTTCTTCCCAGTGTTTACAGACTCATAGTTAGAGGGCTAAGCATGCAGAACTTACTTGTAAGAGAAGTATAACATTGGAGAAGGCTGAATCTTCAGCCAAGAAAAGTCTCCTGTACTAACATCAGGAGCCCTAACAAGAGAGGAATGAATAAACTGGATGTAAACTCAGATTATTGGAATAGATGCAACTGAGACTCTTGAACAGCAGATTCTCCTGAGTCTTAGGAACTGGCAGAAGTAACCCCCTCTTTCTGACCTCAAATGAAGCACGTAGGTACCTCTAAGAAGATGGCCAGCCATTTTCGGAAATTATGCCTGCCTTCTTTTCTAGATGCCAGGTAACCAGAATCAAATCTCAGTCATGGTCAAATCCTAACTGTGGAAGTACTAGACTGACTGAGAGGGGAAAGGGCAGAGATGTAGACTGAGATCATTTTGAAGCTTTCTCCAGGATTTCAACATATTCCCATAATCCCTGCATCCAGAGACATTCAGCAGAATAAAAAGCCAGATGATGACATCGTTCCTAATGGAATAGTTCCACATCATTCAGATGTGCCTGTTGATATTAATAAAGCTAAAATGTTTATTTATTAGAACCATTTTTATGGGTCTATTCCTATAAGTGCAATACAAATTTCACAAATATTAGCTGAGACTGGAGAGAGAAGAATTGTCTGTTCACACGAGGGCTAGATCAGGCCCTCCCAAGAGTTGTCACTTCCAGTTTCCTTTAAGTACTAGGATTCCCTTGTAGATCCACCCTCCCTACGATTTCACTGGTGGAATTCTATTTATGAATTTTCAGAAACAAGTGTCCTCCATCAAATGCTGTTGCTCTATTTAATTTAGTGTTTAAGTTAGCTTTCTCTGAGTGCACACCTGAAATTTTCTTTAAGAATTAAGTAGCTCTCAGATATTTGATGGCATTATTGTCTTAAAAAGAAGCGAGGACAGACACTTCTCAGAGGAGGACATATAATCAATCAACAAGTACATGAAAAAATGCTCACCATCTCTAGCAGTCAGAGAAATGCAAATCAAAACCACTCTAAGATACCATCTCACTCCAGTAAGATTGGCAGCCATTATGAAGTCAAACAACAACAAATGCTGGCGAGGATGTGGGGAAAAGGGTACACTTGTACATTGCTAGTGGGACTGCAAATTGGTGCAGCCAATTTGGAAAGCAGTATGGAGATTTCTTGGAAAGTTGGGGATGGAACCACCATTTGACCCAGCTATTCCCCTTCTCGGTCTATTCCCTAAAGACCTAAAAAGAGCATGCTACAGGGACACTGCTACATCGATGTTCATAGCAGCACAATTCACAATAGCAAGACTGTGGAACCAACCTAGATGCCCTTCAATAGACGGATGGATAAAAAAAAATGTGGCATTTATACACAATGGAGTATTACTCTGCATTAAAAAATGACAAAATCATAGAATTTGCAGGGAAATGGATGGCATTAGAGCAGATTATGCTAAGTGAAGCTAGCCAATCCCTAAAAAACAAATGCCAAATGTCTTCTTTGATATAAGGAGAGTAACTAAGAACAGAGTAGGGATGAAGAGCATGAGAAGAAGATTAACATTAAACTGGGATGAGAGGTGGGAGGGAAAGGGAGAGAGAAGGGAAATTGCATGGAAATGGAAGGAGACCCTCAGGGTTATACAAAAGTACATACAAGAGGAAGTGAGGGGAAAGGGGAAAATAATACAAGGGGGAGAAATGAATGACAGTAGAGAGGGTAGAGAGGGAAGAGGGCAGGGAAGGGGAGGGGATGGGGGATAGTAGAGGATAGGAAAGGCAGCAGAATACAACAGACACTAGTATGGCAATATGTAAATCAATGGATGTGTAACTGAAGTGATTCTGCAATCTGTATACAGGGTAAAAATGGGAGTTCATAACCCACTTGAATCAAAGTGTGAAATATGATATATCAAGAACTATGTAATGTTTTGAACAACCAACAATAAAAAAATTTAAAACAAAGAAGCGAGGAATTTGAATTTTTTCTCCATATAGAAATGATGAATGTTTGAGAAGATGGCTATGTTTACCCTGATTCAAACATTACACAATACATACATGTACTGAAATGTCACATGGAATCCATGAATATGAACATTGTTTTTACTTTTAGTTAAAAATAAATTTAAATGTATATGTACAAAAACACATAACTTCTGCACTTTAAGAATATATTTCAGACTATTTTCTTTCTAAGCACTTATAAAATTACGTGCACTCAGAAAGAGTTTGGCCCAAAGTCTAGTAAATGCTACAGGCAGACAGAAAGGGTTATAGCCATCAAGTTTCATTGTTGAAAATGCCCATGTTGAACTATAGCACTGACAAGCATTATCTTTGCATAGTAGTCCTTTAAAAATGGTGTATTATTGAGGGCCTTTAAATAAAACTTTAGGGAATCACAAAATTTTTAAATACCTTCAACATTAAAAACATTAACATACATTAAGAGTGACCAACACATCATCAGATATGTAATATTTACTTAGTATGATTTAAAATGAACTGAACCAAACAGATGACTCAGAATAAATACAAACAATTCAAGATTTAGAACCAGTTATTGGAGCACTTTCACAATCAAAATCACCTGCCTAGCCATAACAATCATTAAGTCAAATTTAACTAAGGATAGAAATAGTACATTCTACATCTATGCACATGAGAAGTCTTTTTTAATTTCAGACTCTATTGATTTTCCTTCACAAATGTCCAAAATCTCGGCACCAAAGAAAATCTTGTACAAATGTATTTTATATTACTCAAAATTTAGAAACATATTGAGAATTGAGGAGCATATATTTTTCTTTGAAGCCAATGTTCTTGGATTAGTAGTCAAGAAGGAATGGTATCTGCAATAGTTCCATCCATCCATTGAAACATGTAGATCTCCTTGAAGATACTGCAGGACTGATTAGCCTTCTAAAGAGAGGAAGCATGGAAATCTCATTCTAATTTTATCTCACGCAACAGTAACCTCAGGATATTTCCACGAACATATCAAATGCTGTTATTGATCAATAAACTCATTATTAAGGAAGGAAAATAAATGCTACATACCTAACATATCTCTGGGGAGTCAACACCTTTTGTCTCCAACATGAAGAAGTAATTTCTCTGTTAGTTATTTGTCACAAATCTCATAAGTTAGCAGTAGAGTTGATTTAACTGTATATGATGTGTAGAAGTCAAAGATGTAAATTAAGTACAAAATATTTATTCATTATCCAATTATTCAATCCTTTCTGTTCTGCTTCAAACCTCTAGAAATATGAACCTGATTTTCCTCCCGCCCAACTTCAACACAGATATTAGTTTCTATCATTGTCCTATATACTCAGTGGAGTTATAAACAGAAAACCAAGTTATCAGAAGAATGAACTTTGAATAAGTAAAATTCATATATTTATACTCACTTTATAAAACACTGGCATAGATGGCAAGCGGTTCATATAAGTTGTTATAATGTATCACAAACTCCCAACTGTAGAGTTGTATCCAAAAACATTACTTAGCTTAGGACAGCGGCATATGGTTCTAGATCAAGTGAAAGGGAAAGTGTTAAAGGAAATGAGGAATTAGACAAACCGGTAGGAAGCTCAGAGAGCGGACAGTTCTAGGGAAGCCCCATAACCTGAGAGTCAAGGGTCACAAGTGTTCCATCATGGCTCTGCTGCTGAGATGCAAGAGGCTTGCATTTGACCTGATTTTCCAAGTGGAATCAGAATTCCCTGCCCAGAAGAGAACTAGCCCTTACCTGGGGAGATAAATTTACTCAAGAGGAAATTTTCCTGTAATGAGGAAGGGGAAATAGCATTCTAAGATGATGGCAACGATGATGATGATGATGAAAAATAACAAGAATACATCACCTTACGTGTGGGAACAGAACAGGCAACTGCACAGAGGACTTTTCAGAGGACTCAAAAAACACATGAAGGCAGTTGCTGGGTTCTCAGGGCTGAGGAGTCATATTGATCTGCATTACAGGCCGTCTTCTCTGGACAAGCTGGAATAAAGGTCAAGCATAGATCTCCTGCCATAATGATAGATCTCCTGCCATAATGAATAAGGTAGCTGACAGAAGATCTGTCTATGATGTCACAGGCTATTGTATCCACTCACAAAGATGTTGCTCTTTCCCAGAAGATTAATTACATAGTAATAATAATACTAAGAAGATCCAGAGACAATGCAGAAAAATGTTTTCTAACCCACATGATAGAAGTTGAGCATGTGGAGTAGAGGTGCTCAGGAACACAGCCCAGAAAAATTCAAATTGCTTTTGTGACATTTCAGATGTCCCTGATAGAAAAACCATCAGGAACTACTAAAATGCCACTTCAAAATTAAGGGTGGAAAAACCAGGCTGATCTCTTTTATTTCCAGTATTTGATGAAAAGTGACATTCCCAAACTAGGTCTCTTGCTAGTTAAACAATGCTGCCCAAACGTATTATTTAAAAATAAAACAAAGAGGAGGAAGGGAGAAAGAAGAACAGTAGGAAAAAGGGGTGGAGGAGGAGGAAGAAAGAAGAAACCTAATTCTTCATCACTGAAGGAATAAAAGTGAAACTTTTTGAGGAAAGCTTGCCCTCATTGGAAAGTGAGATTTACTTCCTTCTCTGGTGGTCAGTTTTATTTCTTAAAGTCTTTTTTCTTTTTTTAAGCCTGATATCCCAAAGTTTTAAGTAAGAATTTTGTTTTTAAAAACGTTTTGTATTTTTTTTAAAAAGAACTATCATTCTTCTATGTTAACCTTTTCTAATTAACCTTTTCCTTTGGTAATCATACTCTAGTTTTCCCAATACAAAACAATACAGAATATTTTCTCTAACTCATTAGGATGAAACTGATTCTCAAAGCAAGTGTTGTTATTTATAGGAGGTTGAAGGGAAGCCAGAAGATAACTTTTCTTTGTGTTTTTAAACATTGAATTTTATGAAAATATTTGTTTGAAATTTCAGTAATCGCTTCTTAAGTGTTTTCATGGAAGACTGACCCAATCCTGTGACATTTCAGTAGAAAAGGGGTTTAACAAGGAGAGTTTCCTGCCAGGACAAAAAGACAACAATGCCCACCCTCTGAGCCTGTGGCACCCTGGGAGCCCCAGGCTCTTCTCTGTTGTCTCAGGGCTCCAGAAACTGTGACAAGTGTCAGCCAACATCTGAGCCATAGCACCCATCAGCCAGGATAGCTCATTTCTTAAAGATTTCCACCAGCAAATTCATCAGATTCCTTGGTGGATTTAATACAAGCATGGAATCTCTTATGGAACTTGGACTACCTCTTTTCTCTTTTAATCACTATCTTTTAGTTTGTAGATAACTTTTTATTAAAGAAAAACAGAATTGCATAATTGTTATTACTTTCATTCACCCTAAACAATTTTACTCTTGTTCCACATCTGTGTTTTAGAGTTATTTTATTTTTCTAGAAATTTCCACAAGTTTTACTTACTTTCTCCTGGTTTGTGAAGACCATTTTTTGGTCACTTTAAAACATCTTCTTTTTATATAAATGCTTTTTGAACATTCATATTTTTAATTCATCTAGTTTCCTTCTTTTAGGAATCATTTGTGTGATCAGATGTCTCCATAAAATTCCCTCACTTTCTTGTAAAGATTTTTACTACATCTCTCTTTTTTTTAAATGGTCTGAAAGATTCTTTTTAAAAGTAAGAAGCTTGCCAAATTTTGTGAGGTCCTATGTTTTTATTTCACAAAATCTATCATGGTCTAATGACTTTCCTTCACATTTTTCAATTACTTTTATTTACTAACTGTGTATCTCATCATTATTTGTAAAAATCAAGTCTAAAGCAGCGGTTCTCCCATTGTTTCTCCTAACCTGAAATGATGAAATCTTATTTGTTGGTGTGATTGTGTGTATGTGTGTGCAAGTATGTGTGTGTGTGCGTGTGAAAGCATACACAGTTAATGCCCAGAATAGCAGAATACACACATTTATGACACAAAATGAAAACCAGCCTTCATTTTAAATTATTTTGAAAGTGCCTGAATTTCTAAATTAGACAAAGAATAAGGAAATCTTAACAGTGTTATGAAAAACAGTTTTACATTCACATGCAAACAGACAGAAAGATGGAGATTATATCTTTGTTCTTTGATATTACAGATATATTGATGTTCTCCTCCTGAGTTAACAGTTCTCTCAGAATCCTCGAAGTACAATTTTTTCATGAGAGAGAACAGCACTGGTTATTTCATGACCTTTTATTAGCTCTTCAGTATAGTCTACAAAGTCCTGAAGTTTTGTCATTAATTAGCCACAATTTGTTTTGGGTAATGCAACACTTCCCTTTTCACATTCCTTAATTAGCTGCTGAGCTATGAAACAACTATGGCACTTCATAGTATAAGAGCCGGCATTATTAACTCTTTATTTTATACTAACAAATTAATAACTGTAAAGTCAAGGCGAGCTCTTATTGTTGACATGGACAGATATTCATTAGGAATCTTCTGTGCACCATGTTTGGGGCAAGGCAGGAGATTTCGGTGATGATGGCTACAGAGGTGAGCAAGACAAAGGTCTCTTCTCCTAAGCATTTAATGTTCAAGCAGGAAGGAGATACAATGTACAGGTAAATTATATACATACCGTACAGGCACTATCCCACATAGGCAATAAACAAGGAGGCCTTGATTCTGTATTAACGGAGATAAAGAAAGGCATTGATCAAGCACAAATGAGAACACTGCCCATTCCTGTTTACTCAAGGTCAACTACAGCTTATTTACTTTTCAATAATAAATAACAAAAATTTGACATAGAGAAAAAGGAAAATTTTTTTAAAATTCACCTCTTGTGAGGGGTTCTTCATATCCTCATTCTCTTCAAGGGGCATGTATCCTATGGAGAAAAGTCATACAATCAGAATTCTTGACTCCAGTTGCAAATATAAAATGGAAAATAGGTGCTGGAATAAGGTGAAGATCAATTAACCATGCCTGCCAATAAGTGTCCTGCGTGAGTGCTGAGAGCCATAGCCAAGTCCGAATGACGCATGGCATTTTTGCCAGAACGGAGTGGTTGAGAGGTGACATCCGCAAGCCATTGAGATGATAATGGTTATGTTAAGCTGTGTATATTAGACCCCTGCTGTCCTCCTCGGCCTGCTACTTTGGAGTTCTTGCTACTTTGGAGTTCTCGCTACTTTGGAGTTCTCGCGGGGATTCCCGGAAAGTTCCCATTGGTTGGGGAAGTGCCAGAGGTGGGATTTCCGGTTGGTGTGTGGTGTGTCCGGAGAATAAAGGAGTTCCTGTTTTGAACCTACAAGGCTGTGTGGCGGCTCGGTTATTTTGTGCCCAGCCAGACTGCGGCACCTGAGGAAACTTGAAGTATTATGGCTCGTTGGTTGTGATCATGGTACCCTGAAGGACAGTGACAGTGACACTGAATTGGGCACAGAATGCAGGAAGTACTACCAAGGATGCACGTTGGCTGTCCTTGGTCCAGGTAGGTGCATCTGAAGAGATCACACTGGAACCCAGTTGCTCTAGGACATGAGATACACATAAAAAGGCAGAGCTGTAATAGACATGAAGACGCAGTGTAAGCTCCTGAAGAGCAGGCCCGACACTTTCTGTGAGTTTACTTACCTCACCATGGGCAAATTGTCAGCAGACATTCAACAGAAGAATCTACAGATGGAAAAACAACAAACAGTGTGTGAAAGGATACTCATCCTCCTCCCAATAAAAGAAAGGTAAAGTAGAACCATACTCAGTGTGTTAGTCATCATGTGACCAAAATTCCTGACATGAACAACTCAAAGGAGGTAAGACTCATTTTGGTTCAGAGTTTCAGAGTTTCGGTCCATGGTAAGTTGGCTCCATTTGTCTGAGCCTGAGGCATGGCGGAGCATCATGGCAGAGGGACATGGTGAAAGAAGGCTGCTCAGTTCATAGTAGTTCAAGAAGTGGGGAGGAGAGAGGGGCCAGGGACAAGAAATATCCTTCTAAGGCATGTCACCAGTGACCTACTTCCTCCAACTGGACTCCATCTCCTGCAATTTTCTTCAACTTATAATAATCCTTTCAAATTATTAATATTCAAATGGATCAATCCACTGATGAGGTTATAGCCATCATGTTCTAATCATCTCCTAAAAGCCCCACTTCTGAACATTGTTTCACTGGGGACCAAGCCTTCAACACATAAGTCTTTGGGTGACACTCATATTCAAACCATAACCTTCTGTCACTGGCCACCAAAGGCTCATGTCCATCACACAATGCAAAATTCATTCGGTCCATCTCCAAGAGCCCCCAGAGTTTACACTTCCAACTTCACTTAAATGGTCCAAATCCACCATCTCCTCTGAGACTCAAGGCAAACTCTTAGCTGTGAGCCCTTATAAAAATTTAAAAAATGATTTGTATACATTCAATATAAGATGGGGACAGATACAGGGTAAGAATTCCCATTCCAAAATGAAAGAAAGGTAACATAGGAAGGAAGGGATCCAAACAAAACCAAAACCCAGGAGGTCAAACATTGCATCCTGTCTCTCCATTTCTGACATCAGAGACATGTGTGGGCAGGATCTGGGATCAAAGAGCTGGGGCAGCGTTGCCCCTGTGGTCTTGCTGGTTGAAGCCCATATGGGCTCCTAAAAATTATTTAAGTGCTTCACAGTCTGACCCCCCTGAAGACATACTGGAGAAATGTTTATCCATCAGCTTTGCTTCCTTGGGTGTGGAGGACCCAGCCAGGGCACTGAACTCACTAGAATTTTCATGCTGAGTGTGAATGTTTGCTAAGCCTCTTCCAATGAAGGTTAGGAGAAGCCTCAGAGCAGAAAGTAAAGAGAAGGCAGATCTGCAGCCTGAAGAGTGACTAGACACCCCCACACAGGACTCTTGGCCATTTTCCTGGATGGGATCAGAAGTAGCTGAGACGAAGCAAGAGGCCTCCAAGAAAGAGGAGGCCCAAGGCCTGACTCTGGAACATGCCAATGTGCAGATCCTGAGCAGATGAGGACACCCATCAGAGGAGCATCCAGAGCTGTGTGCCTGGCCAGGTTCTGAGGGCCTTTGAGGATGGGCCAAAGGACTCTCATGCTTGAAAATGGAAACTTATTTGAGCAGAGACATAACTGTTGTGCCTGACAGCCTTTCTAATGCAATTAATAATGTAATTTAGAGGGCTTCATATGTGTTTCATCATCATCAATTCAACTCTGGATTGATGCGGACAATGCTGGACACGGGTTCATTCTCAATAGCTTCATGGTTTGTGCCTATCTTTAATTCCGAATTTTTGTCGTATGATTATTCTAATATTCAGGAAAAGCAAAGTGTTCACTTAGTCTTTTGCTTAGGTGAAGAAAGGAAAAAGAAAGTATCTGAGTCTAATAACCCAAATGGTTAACTCTTCCTTCTTTCTACACATGTAAATACTTCTGAGCATGTATGTACTTAAAAATCCTCTGAAATACGGAGCAAAATCAAGGGGCTCATAGAGAAGATATAGGATCCAGCAGCACTCCTGTAGCTTGTTTATTTATTTATACTTATTTAAAATAAGTTTAAGGGAAAATACTTGGCAAAAATATGTGCAGGAACTTTAAATTACTGAACTACTGAAAACACAGAAGAGCAATGAAATGAAAATGGAAGCCTCTGGCTGTGAATGGTGTGCCACACGGTGTGCTGGTGGGAACCAGAGGCCAGGTGTAAAGAGGTGATGGAAAAGACCCAGGGCAGCCTTAGGTGGAACAGATAGAAGAGAAGGAGGCTGGGGTAGCGAGGACTGGTGCCATCCCCTCTCACAGACCTGTCCATCGGGAAGAGGCAATAGGTAGTCGCCTGACTTTGGGTTGAATAGCAAGAGGGGGCTCCTGATAAGGCCTTAGGGACAGAAGTACTTACATATGATAGAAGAGGAAGATGATTTAGGTAAAAGGGAAAGGAGTCAGAAAACCAGACTTTGCTGTCTCCTGGCCCCCTGATTGCTTATACTGATTTAAAGTGGGCCCAGTCAATTGCTGAGATCTGTAAGAATCAGCCTCCCAGGGTGTGTAGCAAGGTGGAGAAGGAGAGATTGGAACTGCAGAGGCAGGTGGAGATGACCTTGCACAAAAAAAACTAAATTTAATTTTTTTTTTTTTCAAATTAACCACAAACTTGTCTCTAAATGGTACACCAAGTAAGGCTAATGGATTTTTTAACTTGGAAAAAAAAATGATCCTAAAATTAATCTTGAATAATTACCATGTTATGTGCAACTTGGATATTTCTAAAATGAATGAGCAATGGAGTACAGGGGTTATTTGCACTACAAGATACAAAATCTATTATGCAGCTATATGATGAAATTAATTTGATGCTAGTGAAGGAACAAACTAATCAATCTATTTTTTTAAATAAGCAACCCAGTAAGAAATCCAAGTATGTACTCTAATAATGGCATTTGAATAGACAGAAAAAAAATAATCAAAATAAACATCATTAGGGCAATGATATATAATCATGAAGAAAAATAAATCTAGGGGTTGCAAGAATAGAGAAAGTCACTTTTGTGGCTGCTCTGTGGCATGAAACCAAGAAAGCAGTTTTTAAAATGTGAGGAAAGAGGTACACTCATACATTGCTGGTGGGGCAGCAAATTGGTGCAACTACTCAGGAAAGCAGTATGGAGAGTCCTCAGAAAACTTGGAATGGAAACATTCCAAGTTTGACCTAGTTATTTCACTCCTTAGCATATATCCAAGGGATCTAAAATCAGCCTACTGTAGTGATGTGGCCACATCAATGTTCATAGCAGCTCAATTCATGATAGATAGGAACTAATCTAGGTGCCTTCCAATAGATAAATGGATTAAAAAAATGTGGTACATATCACAATGGAATATTACACAGCCTGAAAGAAAAAAGAAATTACAACGTTTGCCAGTAAATGGATGGAACTGGAGACTATCGTGCTAGGTGAAATAAACCAATTTCAAAAAACCAAAGACCAGATGTTTTTTCTGATATGCAGATGCTGACTCATAATAGGTGCATGGAGGGAGGAATGGAGGTTCACCAGATTGGACAGGGATGATGGGGTAAGGGGAGATGGAAATGGGAAAGGTCGTAGAGTGAATCAGACATAACTTTGTTCATATATGAATACATGACTAGTGTAACTCCACATCATGTACAACCACAAAAATGGGAAATTATACTTGATGTATGATATGTCAAAATACATTCTGCTGTCAAGTATAACTAAAAATAACGAATTAAAAGTTTTAAAACAGAAAAATCTTGTTTTACTTCATGCCTCTAATCTTTTACATGTTAGAGATGGATTAAAGAAAAAATACAAATTAACAAAAATATTTTTATAATATATAAAATATTAGATAAAATGTAATTAAATTGTATTGATATCTTGGAATGGGGAGGAAATTACTGCGTATCTCATTTAATATAATCCAGCTGCCTCTTGTATGTGTCTAGGTTCATTACATGCCCTCAGTAAATGACTAGTTAACATAATAATGAGAGCCAGAACACAAAAAGACAATGCTTGATAGGACTTCCCAGAAAACAAATAAATTCCTATAAAGTCAAAGTAAATAAAATATGTTAAGATATGAATCCATGAGTGGGAAGTAATAATAATATTTTCTATTTCAAAGCATAAGTATTTCTTATGTATCACAGGAGAAAGATAACTTGTCCAATAGAAAATTTGGCAAAAAAAAATGAATTAAGAATTCAATGAGAGAAAAATATCAGTGACAGAAAAACAAATTTTAAAAATGGTGACTATTAGTAATCAAAGAAGAAATGCAAAAATTTTACAAATAATAATGTATTCTTTGAGTATTTGTATTACATTGATAAAGACCGAGAAGATTGACCATGATAACCGTGGGTAAAGCTAAAGAAAATACTCCTCGCATAGAGATGGTCTGAGGGTAAAATGTTCAGAAGTTTCTATATGGTAATTTGTCAGTTTACCTTAGTGATTATAATTATGAATAGTCACAAATGATGAAAAATATACTCAAAATTAGAGTTATCAGCAAAAAAATTGGAAATCACATAAATTTAATCAGCTAGGGCTGAATTAAAAAGATTATCAGCACAGTGTATTTCTATACAATAATTCAAGATAAGATAGAAGAAGCAGATTTATTTCATAGAAAGATTTCCTTAAAATTTGAAAAAACCATTACTTCAGGTCATAAAGCAAATTAAATATAATTCTTGCTACAAGCTACCTTTCAATTGAATAAACACCAACACTTTTACTTTAAATGCCTTGCCAAAGTCACAAAGATGTCAAGGATAAAAAAAAGAAATGAACCAAGGTTTGATAGGAGTATAAGTGCCGTTTGGGGACGGTGGTTCCTCCCCTTGTGGATGACATGCAGCCTGTGGCGTGAGAGGTGACTACAGAGAAGGGAAGAACCTAGCTGACACCCAAAGTAAAGGTAAAGCTTTTTTTGTTTTTCTAACCATAATTTGATGAGTGGTGACTTAACAGAATATTCTCTGAAAACACATCTTGTGAGAGGGGCCCTTTTGATGAGACCTGATGGATGACTTAGATGGATACCTATCAGTTCCCTAAAGGACTTGAACAAAGAACATAGGATCCCCTTGATTATGTAATGTGTATTGTCTCTATACCATCCATCCACCCTTCTACATACTGTGAATGGTTTGGTCTCCATTGCGATATGGCTCTGTGAAATGCAAGACTTAGATAAGGAAGAGTTCTGGCTAACACACACACTGCAACTTTCAAATTTCATTATATAGTAGAATCTAATTTTATTTTTGCAGCGTAACTCAAGTGCATTAAAAAGTCTGTAGATAAAAATACATTTAAAAAACACATACATCTATTTGTAACCTGAAGCTTTCAAGGAGGCTCAAATATTTGTATCTACTCAGAGTGCATTAATGTTTGTTTAAAGGCACATATTTATGGCCATAAGAGGTATTCACTGAAAGTACAGTCACCCAGCACTAAGTGCAGGGATATTTCCTGACAAATGTGTCATTGAGTGATTTCGTCATGCTGTGCGTGTCAGAAAGTATACTTCCACAAACCCAGATGGCTATGTATTGAAACCTTGTATAGGACCACTGTCATATGTTGTTACTGATTGAATATGAGGTGTCTCCCAAAAGCTCATGTGTGAGACAATGCAGGGATGTGCAGAGGTGAAGAGATTAGATTATGGGACATGTAACCTAGTCAGTGGGTTAATCCATTTGATGGATTAATAATGTAAATGTATTAATGAGTGGTAACTGTATACAGGTAGGACGTGGCTAGAGGAAGTAGGTGACTGGGGCATGCCTTTGGAGTTCATATTTTGTCTCTGGTGAGCAGAGCTCTGTGTCCCCTCCCCGACCCCTGCTTCCTGGATGTCATGAACTGAGCAGTTTTTCTCCACCATGCCCATCTCTCATGATGTTCTGCCTCACCTCAGGCCCAAGGCTATAGGGTTGGTGGACCATGGTCTGAACCACTGAAACAATGAGCCAAAATACACTTTTCCTTCTCCAAGTTATACTTGTTGGATATATTGGTCATAATGGCACAAAGTTGACTACAACATATGTGCAGCCCATTGTTAGTTGAAATAACGTTATGTGACACATGGCTCTACCTACTTCAACATGTTTTCTAGAAAACACATGAGAATATGAAGATCTCATATATCTGAAAATGCTCCTGCTAATAGGCAAAAAGCTTAAATTTCTGGGGAAATATTACAAAAGAAATCTTTTTTTTCCATATCATAATTGCAATAAAAATAGAAATAGAGCCAGGGGCAAAAATTAGAGATAGAAATGAAACCTCAGCAGCAAGTTGAGCAGCTCACAGTGGATTCAAGGAATGGAGCCCCTCATTGATCTTAGTAGGGATGAGGATTGTGTTTTAATCCCTATGCAAGGAAGGAATCCTCTTGAGTGAAATGTGCCGCAGTCTGGCTGGGCACAAATCACAAGCCACTGAAGCAGGAACAAACTTTATTTCTGAACTCCACCAGCACACTCCACACACACTCCCGGGAACTCCCCTGAATGCCACGTGGCTCCTGGAACCAGCAACCAGAAATATCCCTCCTCTGGCACTTCCCCAATCAATGGGAACTCTCTGGGAATCCCCACGAGAGCTCAAGCAGAACTCAACAGGAACTCCCCAGAACTCAAAAGTCATCATCTTAATGTCTCACGTCACCTCTCAACCACTACTTCTGGCAAAAATGCCATGCGTCATCCCTACTCGGCTGTGGCCCTCAAAAGAAATGGACAATAGGATTGTGAAATTCTCTGAACTAATTGGTACTTTCAAACTGCTAAATGATTATGATATTTCTCTTGAACAGATTAAAATAAAGCCCTCATATTCAGGAATTGTGAGTCTCAAGTTCATATTTTACAAAACAAGAAAAGAAAAAAACAAATATGCTAAAAAGTAACAAAATATAGCAAACCCAGATGGTAAATGAATGGGTGTTTAGTTTCATTTTTTCCATAAATTTATATAAGCTTATAATATTTCCTCCAAGGTAAAGAAAAACTGTATGACTTCTAGTCTTTTTCGTCATTAAGAAAAACCACATCCTATTTTTGGCAGGGCATTAATTCTGGCCATTGTTTGCAGATTTTGCCTAAGTCTTGAGAAGCCAATGAGTTTACTGCGATTAATACTTCAATAAAAATATTTTAATAAAAAAGCAGCTTTGGGATAGTAAAATATGAATTTCCTACTTACCAATGGTTTCATTTTGTCATCATCCTCTGTTGCCGCGTCCGGCCAAGGGAGCCGAGTCCGGCGAGGGATGGCGAGGTTAAAAGACACACAGGACACCAAGGTTCTTCATCCAGGAGTCAATAATAATCTTTATTGCTAACACACCTTTTTTTATACCCCAAGCAGAAGAAGTGGAAAACTACCCAAAAGCAGGAGGGAGGGGGGAGAAATTTAGTTTCAACATCTATTATTGTCAGGTACCGAAACCTCCCTTAACAATAAGTCCATCAGACCAGAAAAGGTCAAGGCATTCCCGTGGGATACATATGTCTCAGACGGACAAGCAGGAACAGAAAAACCGCAAGTTCACCATGGCCTTGTGAGCTGGCCACACTGGCATGCAGAACAAACTAGTGGAGGTAGGGCTCCAGGGGCCAGGGTGGACCTGCTGCCAACAAGTCCCCCTCTTTTGTTTTTTGCATGTCAGTGGGAATCAAGTAGCCCCTGTCTTAGGTCGTTCACAGCCCTTGCGATGCTTACCCGTCTCTGGGAAGGCCCCGATTCCCTGGCTTAGGTCGCACAGCAAGCGTGAAAGTTGCCCGTCACTGGGTACTACAAGATCAGCTCAAGGTGTTATGACCTATCAAGACATTATTGTGGTGAACACTTAACCGGTGAACTCTTAACCGTCTCCACCTACGGGACCCACGACCATCACCGCCGAATGGCAGATGTGATTGGACTGAGAGATTAGACAGCAAAGATCCTAGTACAGGAAGGCAAAAGGGAGAGGTATGCATAGAGAAAAGATATGGCAGGAGTTCTTCTTTTAAGGAGGACACTCATCTTCGGATCGGTCTGAAGTATATCTCAGAGAGGCGATCATCCATCTTTAAGCGTTGATAGTGAACCTGTATCGGCTTAGAGGCTAAGATATTAATTTGATCTTTAATGAATTGTACTATCTTATTTACAATGTAGGGTCCTATTGTCACTACTAGAAGGAGGCCTAACAATGGTCCCAATAAGGGAAGAAGATAAGGCAAAAATCCATTAAGTCCAGTCCAGAGAGGGTTCTCAAATAATTCCCTCCTCCTTTTTTCTAGGTCTTCTTGGAGTTGTTTAATTTTTGTGCGAACTATGTCAGATTTGTTAGCATAAAAACAGCACCTCTCCCCAAGGGCTAAACAAATTCCCCCTTGATTGGCAGTAAGTAAGTCTAAACCCCGCCTGTTCTGAAGAACTACTTTTGTTAGAGAGTCTATCTGGTCTTGTAAGTCTTTAATGGTTCCCGATAGGGTTTGCACATCATCTATAAGCTGTTGAGATAGGCGGCGGTAAGAATGTATAGCCGTATCCAATCCCGCCGTGCCTGTGCCCACAGCAGCGGTTATTCCAAGGCCAACAAGGAGTGGTAAGGCCTGCACAGCTCTCTTGTGTCTTCTAACTAAGATGTCTAGGCTAGGAATAGGTAGGGGTTCATCTCCTGAGATAATCGTGATATCAGGAAGCAGTAATGTGAGAACGCAACCGCCAGTCCAATTTGCTGGGAGCCTGGGAAAAGCTAAATTTCCACCACACATAAAGACTGTACCATTAGGGGGACAAATGGGCGGAGTAGGTGAGGAGTAATTCTTTACTAATGAGCAGTTTTCAAAGGAAGAGACTCCAACATCAACATCATAGGTATTATTTTGTATCATGCCCAGAAGGCATGACATAAAACCACCTAGAGGCTGCACCTTAAAGGGTAGCCCAGATTGACATGTGTTGTCATCATCAATGGTATAATTGATGGGAACCGCCAATGGCATGACTGCACCTGCCGTCATGCAGAGCCAGCAATCACCAGCAAGGGTAGGGTTGGAACTACTAAGTAAAGAAAAGGTAGTTTCTAGGATATCTAATGTATTGGCATCTAAATCAGGAAGCTGGGATTTGGGCAATATCAAGGGATGGTATGTAGGCTTAGGGATCTCTGGCTTTAAAAGCTTAATCACCTGAAGGTGTTTGATAGCATCAGTGGGTCCCCCTCCATCATAGATTCCGATGGGGGCCTGCATGGGCCAACAGGAAGGTTTACCCACGACGCCCTCACATCCCGCCTCCATTAACCGAGTCGTGATGCCTTCCCCTCCCCGGTCACCAAGAAAAGGAATATAATTATAAGTGGTCCCCCATTCTCCACGGGTGTTAGTTAGGATGGCCTCAAAATACTGTTTTTCTTGATTATTAACACAAATTGAGGCCGATGTATAACAGGAGATGTGCATTGCCGGGGTGTAATGACAAGTGGCGGGACAGCTTCCAAGAGTCTCGGTCGGATTAGGGACAACAAGTCCGGGCTTATTAACACATACCCATTTTGGTTGCTCAAATCCTCCGATGTTTTGATTGATTTCAGCCGCCATATAGGCTACTTTAGTCCCACAATCAATGCTCTGGATATAACCAGAGGGGGCCGAGTGCCGGGGCCCTCCCTTACACTCACAAGGGGCTCCAAAAAGATATTCATGAATATTCCCAGGTGGGGGGTCAAGCCCTCCTTCAACAAACCTGTCCAGAAGGAATGTCACAAGCGGGGTCCAGCTCATGAGGTGTGTCTTGGCACTCACTTGAAGGGGTGAGAACAACAGTGGCAGGATCAGCCATCTTGGGAACTTCATTTTGTCTTGAATTTTCATTCACCGGTCTAGTGCAGCGCTCCGGGATCCAAATGGGCTTCTCAGTTCCTGGGGGAAAAACACATACAGCTCCCCTCACTCTAGCTAAGAGTGGAGCCGGGGGTTGCCACTTTCCGGTGGATAAATCTTTCCACCTTATTTGAGCATCTTGTACAGTGGGAGGGGAAAAGTGGCGTTGTGCAGCCGTGCGCCCTCCAGTGTCAGTGAGTAAAAAATTTAAAATAAATAAGGTTATGTTTAGAAGTGCTTGTGGTCCCTGAAAATTCCGGTATATCTCCCCCTCTTTTGTTTTTTGTAAATAAGTTTTTAAATGTTGATGGGCTCGTTCTACGATAGCCTGTCCCTGTGGATTATAAGGGATTCCAGTCTTATGATTAATTTTCCATTGGGTGCAAAACCGTTGAACCGCCTGGCTTACATATGCGGGACCATTATTGGTTTTGAGGCATCGTGGGGTGCCCATGGAGGAAAAGGCTTTTAGAAGATGATTGATTATGTCCTTAGCCTTCTCTCCAGTATGTAAGGTGGCAAAAATGAAGCCAGAATATGTGTCAGTGGAAACATGTATAAAGGAGAGCTTACCAAAGCTAGGGAAGTGTGTAACATCAGTTTGCCAGACATCATTAGGTTGTAGTCCTCTTGGATTAACCCCAAGGGAAGGAGAATGAATAAATGGTGTACAGGTTGGACATAATGAGACAATCTGTAAAGCTTGGTCTCGTGAACATCCTGTGTGGAAGCGTAAAGACTGTGAATTTAAATGAAATTTGTTATGGAATTGTAAGGCCTTATCATATTTGGTCGTCACACAGGAAAGGCCGACAGCATGAGTAGCAGCGTCTGTTTTTGCGTTTTCCTCTGACAAAGGTCCAGGGAGCCTTGAATGGCTTCGGATGTGGCCAATGTATAGAGGATCTCGTCTAGCTCAAATGAGAAGCTGAACTACCTGTAGTTGTTCTGTGATGGTGGATTGCTTTCCAATATATGATGCTGTTTTTATGAATAGAGCCAGATTGGCTACATACAGGCTGTCAGTATATACATTAAGAGGAATAGAACTATAGACTTTGAGAGCTATGATTAAAGCTTTGTCCTGTATCTCAATGGTCAGGTTGGGACGCGAATCCAAATGAGTTACCCAAAAGGCCTGGGGAGTTCCAGTGAAGCCAAAGCTGCCGTTGCCCCGGGACCCACGGAGGGCGTGCCCAGGAATGGAAGCTAAGGGTAGCAGCAGCAATTGAGCCATACGCTCCCCGGGGGGAAGAATAACAATTCCTTGGGTAGCTTCTACTACTATTTTTATCTCTCCCTGATAATCAGCATCAACAACCCCTGTAAGAATCTTCAAGCCCCACTGAGTTGCGCTACCTCGTCCCAACACTAGTCCCACCGTCCCCTCTGGCAGGGGCCCAAAAACCCCAGTAGGCAGCGTCTGAGGTCCCATTTGGGGAGTTAATACCACTCGGGAGGTGGAACTGAGGTCCAGTCCTGCGCTTCCTGGTGTTCCCTTGGGGAGTTCCCAGATAGAAAGGGGTTGGTCAGTGGGAGGCGTTGGAGACGCCCACTCCCTGGGGCACTGTTTTGTCCCTGCACTGCCCCGTACACTTTGGCTTCCGGGGCCCGGGGCGGGCCCCTGCTCCCGTTTCCCGACGGTATTGGGTTACCCTGGATGTCAAATTTTGACCTGCACTCACTGCTCCAATGATTTCCTTTATGACATCTAGGACAAATTCCAGGCATCCCTCTGCCAGCACCCTCACTCCTTTCCGGGCAGTTTCTCTTTATATGTCCCTCTTTCCCACACTTAAAACACCCCTTAGAGCGGGTTCCCCTGTTATCAGCTTTTTGCATTCCAGTCTTAAGGGCAGCAGCCAAAACCTGACCAGTAATATGAGGCCCATCTATATCTTTGCATGCTCGAATCATGTCATCTATACTTTTGGCCCGGGAGGACTTAATACCATTTTGGCAGTAAGTGTTAGCATTTTCATATGCCAGTTGTCTAATAAGTGGCATAGCCTGTTCCAGATTAGGGAATATTTTTCCAGCCGCCTGCATTAGGTGGGCTATAAAGTCCGAATAAGGTTCAGAGGGTCCTTGAGAGATCTTGGAAATTTTTGCTTTAGTCTTAGAAATTGGCAGGGCTTTCCAGGCATGGACTGCAGCTGAGGCTATTTGAGCATAAACACCTGGGTCGTAATTAATTTGTTGGCCTATGGTGGCATACTGCCCAGTTCCTGTTAACATTTCAGCATTTCGCCGTTGATGGCCCGCATTCAGGTTAATCTGAGCCAGCTCGCGGCACCTTTCATGATATTCACTTTTCCACAATAAGAAATCCCCTCCAGATAACACAGCCCTGCAAAGTTGCTGCCAATCATTGGGTATCAGTTGACTGGCTGAGAAGGACTCGAAGAGGGTCAATGTGAAAGGGGCATGAGGTCCATAATTAATGACCGCCTCCTTAAGCTGTTTTATGTCCTTGAAGGCTAGGGGGACATGGGCTCTGGCCGGCTGGCCATCAGCATCGGCATTTTCAATCATTGGAAAAACTTGAGTCGCTCTAGAACTCCAGTGGACCCCCACCCGTCTAGTAGGGGCGTCCTCATTTCAATCAGGATTATAGGGAGGAGGTGCGGCAATTGAGGGGGCCCTAGGCACCCTCACATTTGCCCTTTTAAGGCGATGTTCTAATTCCTCTATCTCCCTTTCTAATCCCTCCTCTTCCTCAGAGAGAGAACTGAGGTCCTCAGGATCCTTTTCGGGCTTAGAAATCTGGAGGCGTTTCTTACCCCCCGAGCCCGAGTCCTCAAGAGGACCCTCATCCTTTAAGGATTCTGCCATTTGCTCCTCCTGCACCTGATTAAGGGCCTGTTCACATTCAGCAAGTTGATCCTTGATCTTTACTTTATCTGTTAATAAAGCATCCTTTACCAACCTCCATAAGGAAAAAGTGGCAACTGGGACACTGTCCGAGCCCCGGTCCCTCAATAATTTCTGAAGGTCATGCCTCACCAGGTCCCAGTCACTATTATTAAGAAATCCTCCTGTCAGAAACCAAGGACAAGCCTGGGCAATAATTTCAACGAATTTGGTTGCAGTCTTAGTTTTTATTCCTGTTCCTTGTGTATTTAACAGCTCTTTCAGTTCATTGGCCAGACGAACCTTCGCTGTTGAGTTACCCATGGTACGTACCCTGTCTCTTTAAATTATCTTTAAACCAATCCTCCCCCTTCTTTCTTAGAAGGTGAGCCCCGTCCGCTTACCCCTGCTTTCCGGATCTCGGTGGAACCTCCAATTGCCGCGTCCGGCCAAGGGAGCCGAGTCCGGCGAGGGATGGCGAGGTTAAAAGACACACAGGACACCAAGGTTCTTCATCCAGGAGTCAATAATAATCTTTATTGCTAACACACCTTTTTTTATACCCCAAGCAGAAGAAGTGGAAAACTACCCAAAAGCAGGAGGGAGGGGGGAGAAATTTAGTTTCAACATCTATTATTGTCAGGTACTGAAACCTCCCTTAACAATAAGTCCATCAGACCAAAAAAGGTCAAGGCATTCCCGTGGGATACATATGTCTCAGACGGACAAGCAGGAACAGAAAAACCGCAAGTTTGCCATGGCCTTGTGAGCTGGCCACACTGGCATACAGAACAAACTAGTGGAGGTAGGGCTCCAGGGGCCAGGGTGGACCTGCTGCCAACACTCTGTAAGTTCAAAGTTTACTTTAGGAAAAAGTGACAATAATACATGGTCATTGTAGAGATTCAATATGAAAAATGTACTTTGTCAACTTTAATGGACTGTTGTGGAGTTGTGCTATGCAGGGGTACAAATTCCATAGAATGAAGCCAAGGACCCTAGTGGGACAGGCTGGGTGCTATGAGAATCAGTGCCACTTAAAAACTTTATGCTCTCAAGCAATTTTTGATCCCAGGGTGATTCAGTTTCTTAATTTTAAAACCAAGATTAATATAAAAATCTTTTTGATATGCATGTTTCTGAAAATTAAAGATAAAATATGCAAAGTTAATGTCTAGACACCAATGCAGTCTTACCATTCCTGCAGCCTAACCAAATTTTAGATGCATTTCTTCTTCATGCAGAGCTCCTGACTTCTCTTTTCTGAGAGCAATTTCCATAGGAAACTTCCTATGGTAAATTCTTTCCATGACTCTTGGAGATTCAATAAATCTTTATCCAGACTCTTTAAAACTTTACAACTCAAGAATGCCCCTTCTCAAGAACTGGAAGTCAGCCCTTTAAAAAAATTACAGAAGGAGATAGCACCCTCTCTGCCAGTCTCGGCAGGAAGCAGGAGCCTCACTTTGATAAGCAACTACTATCAAGCACACATGACTGATCAGTGACAAATTGCAGCCCTAATGTCACCCATGTATTTCTCCCTCCCTTCGACTTTTTGTGCTTGTCTTTCCTCCTATTCTGATAGTCTTCCCTGCCTGTTTAATATGCCCAGAGCAATTTGCACTTGAAAGTAGCATATACTAAAATAATAATAATAATAATAATAATAATAATAATAATAATAATAATAATAATAATAAATCAGTAACTAACCATGAAATAGTAAGTAACACAACACTTTTAATTAAAAAATAGGTACCTACAATCTTCTCACGTGTGGTCATTGTGCCATATCCTGTTGGAGTTTTCTAAATTGACTTTGCTAAGTGAGAGAACTATATTTAAGCCTGTTCTTTGGATTAAATAAATGCATTTGAAAATGAAAATGAGAACAGTGAACAAATATTATGAGGCTCAGAGTTGAACTTAATTCTTCCAAATAGAAACTCTCTATTGAGAACATGAAACATACTAGAAATTTTTCCCAGAATTTTTTTTATTGTTCAAGGAAATAAAATAGCTACAAGAAAAGTGCAAAGGAACAGAATAAAGGCAGAGGTTGAGAGATCTAGTGTTGCAATTTAAGAATGTCTTCCTTGAGGTTATATTTCAGTCTAATTATCCTGGTGATGAAAACTAGATCTCTTCTCCTCTCACTGCCACTTATCTCCAAGGTTCAGCAC